ATTATGATAAGATGAAGTTTCGCTAACGTTTGCGGTCTTATTACGAAACTTGGTTTATTAATAGCTTCGAGTTTGAATGAGTCTTCGTCATGATAAAATTTGATATTTGTTGTTAAATTCATCTTATCTAATATATAAAAATTGATTTTTATTCGTTCGTATTTTATTCGCTGCCATACCGTTCATCAGATTGCGCTGAAATTTTTTCAACTTGATGCTTGCACTTGCATGAAGGTAATATATAAAGTTATATAGGCAGCTTTACGTGGTAGTGCCATGCTGCAGCTATATTAGTTGTATAGTTGTAGCACGAATGGGTCGGCTCGACCGGGGAAGGACCACGCTCTTACATAATACCAGCGTAAAATAGCAGCTTAACACTGCTGTGTTTCGTATGGTAAGTGTAGAGAACCGGAGACCCTTTTTACTGGAAAAGACGCATTCCATCTTAGTCCTCACGGGTGACAACGCATCTGCATTTTGATTCTTTATTGATGATAGATGTGGATGCCTATGGGTCACAGCAACCACTTACCATCAGGTGGACTGTGTGCTCGTTTGTCACCCTATCTTATAAAAAAAATACAGTAGGTGGCGCGCGTGTCGTACCGAGATATTTATTTGAAAGTCATAATAAACCATTCAATTTCAATGAATGTTCATTCAGTATTATCGTATTATCATTCCAAATCAAACAATATAACTCTTCCAAATTTAAAACGATATTTTCACAATTATTTTTTCTAATGCAGCAACGCGCCGGATACCAGCTAGTACCTATCTTATATTTTAGTTCGCATATTTTCCGCGAGACTTCTTAACTGAAACAGACTCTAGTTTGAACCTAAGGCTTTATAAACTACTTTTTGCAGTAGGACGGTCGGATTCACTGACGACAATGTCAATATGTTCAGCCATAAATGCGGACGTAAGTGATTATATTCTCTTTAGCGGACACGCAATTATTTATCTCAACCTTTTTACCTGAGGTGATTAAAAAAATCTGAAAAACGGTTGACCCTACAGGCCATCCCTGGAACTTCCTGCTTATTTTCGTGCGCAACGCTCGAAAATCGATTTAATTTTTGTGCTCGCTTTTCACCTTTACTCTATAAAAATAAATAGACATAAACGAAGAAATAAGTAATTTTATTTTTACGGTTTCTAAACACTTAAAACAGTAAAAGTAAATTTGCAATGATACAAACTTGGAAATTTTCCTCTAAGATAGTAACGAATAACTTAACGAACAATACTACCGACTCATTACTTCATGAACACAATAGCAGATTTATAGTTCGATTGTCTTTAACCACAGGTTAGTGTAATATAATACTACACATTTGATTCAAACACCTTCTTAAATGATAAATAATAATTGAAGACTAGATACGAAATTGAAAGCTGTTTCAACAAAATTTATTTTTAAATTAAATCCTAATGACGAACATTGGGCTCGATGGTTTATTACCAGAGTTCTTCATATACTTAATACAAGCGTATCCCAAAGCACGCACACAATCCTGGGCTCCACCTACAGTAGCATATACAAGTAACTTAAATTAAAAAATTTAAAACACCCGGGAAAAAAGGAGCTGATGATCTTCAAGCAACTGAACAGGTTTTCTTGAAACATAGCTAAGAACACTAGATTGAGACACTTTTCAAACGAAAAAAAAAATGTGTGTGTGCGTGGAACAATCGGTTGGAACGAAGTTCCTTACGTAGTATATTATTATTGATAAACGTAGTTATTATATTATTGATTAACAAATACAAATAAATTAATTACTAGCGTCTATCAAAATGAAGCGTCATTTGAAATAAAATAATATTTCTTTCATGGCAAGATAAGAAAAAGTGCGAGGGAGATGGATATTATTTCATCTCACTTCCTTATTTCGCCGTCAAGGCCGCCTACACTATGACACAGGAGGTAGTGACGGAAAAATCTTACACTTTGTCGCCTAGCTCCCATCCGCTAAACCCGTACCGTCCGATAAGGAACTTCGTTCCAATAAACTTAATTAAAATCGATTTATTCGTTCAGGAGCTATGATACCCCATGCAGACAAACACATAAAAAAAACCAAAAACACAAATTCACAGTTACACAGATACACGTATACAGACTACAAAGTTATAACACCCCTCTGAGTTCTCGTTATTTCCTCTAAACACTACTATCCTTAAGTAATTCAAAATATCAGGCAAGTCACAATAATTGCACTCAAATATACATCGGAAAAATGAACGAATGACACCCCGTTAAAGCATTAAGTAACGCGTGGTAATTTACATAAGTATAGGTAAAGTTACCAGACGTCCTTTATTTAAAAGGAAATCTTCTATTTCACAGCCAAAAACTGATGATGTCCCCTAATTTGAAATCTTTAATAGAGGACAAGGCAATATTGCGCGTATTTGATATTCCCTCTGTTAGTTGTGATCATAGTTTGAGGTGACGCGTGATGTTATAGAGACAAATTATGTTACATTGCGTATTAACATTTCTTTATTATGGTTCCGTACCCAAAGGGTAACCAATGAGACCCTATAACTAAGCTTCCGCGGTCCGTCCGTCAGTTACGTCCGTACGTAGACAGTTTAAATTTTCACAAAAGCTGTATTTCTGTTGCCGCTGTGACAATAAATAATAAAAATAAAAATTAATTAAAAATTAAAGGAGGTTACCCTACTAGAAACGTCTTTTACGATGGTACATAACCCCTCATGCGAGTCTGACTCACTCTTGGTCGGCTTTTTTGTTTATTATTTAATGTCAATATGTTACCCTCTATTTTTATCGGATGTCCTCTATTTAATCTTATCAAATCCTCTAAGCATAAAACGGGATCTGGCAACCCTAAGTATATATATATATATATATATATATATATATATATATATATATATATTCCTAGTGTATTGTTTGTCGTGATGCAAGCATCGATAACAAGAAGATCGTGCGTGGCACGTTATCGCGAGTTGAGTGACGCCTTGAAGATTTACGTTTACATTGTCATCTTTAGTGTGCGTCCGCAGCGTCGGCAAGTCTTTCGCTAAATTAACCTTGCATAGTCCTAAATTCTATAAAAATGTTTGATGTTTGGTTAATTTTTGTTTACATTGTGCTCTATTTAGGTCAAGTTTTCTCAGTTGCGATCTGAAGTATGCGTCCATTTTGATGGCTCTGCTACGTGTAAAATCTTATGTAAATTTTTTATATTACACATAAAATATGTATTCATTTATCGTCTTAATTTGTATACTCGACCCAAACTTGACACTAAAAAGTTTTCAACTAGATATATATATATATATATATATATATATATATATATATATATATATATATATATATTTTTAATGTGAATTTTTAAACGTTACATTATTTACACATGACAGTTTTCTCCTGTAGGCATTTTACATACATAAATTGCACACGGACAAACATCCAGACGGAACAGTTGTTTGTAGACCATAAAAATACTTGTTCTTTGTGCGATTCGAATCCAATGCCCCTTTTTTTACTTATAAGCCAGCGCTTGACCACAATCCCACCTGATGGTAAGTGGTGATGCAGCCTTAGATGGTAAATCGCACTGTCTTAGCGTAACAAAAGCCTATTCACTCTTGCTTTGATATATATGTAAATGTTTGATATAGCAATTTGAAGTCAGTTTTTACTTTTTGCTAAAAGTTATTAATTATTTCTTGAAGTATATGTCTCAGAACCATATGTTATCACTGGCCACACCCACTAGTTTAATACTCTTGTTTGAAAGTTTTGAAGAATACGTGACGAGAAGATGTGTAAAAATCTAACAATTGCTACCCAGCCGAGTTAGAACCTACTGATGCATACATTAATTTATAAGTCAAGTTAATAATAATAGTAACTAAATAAGTATTTTATTGTCCAACATTTTAAATAATATGAACCTGATTTTATATTCGCACCACACCGTCTGGTAGCGGTCTAAGAGAATCCTCACGTTGTCCCGTGGGTGTCGAAAGAACAACTATACTCGTAGTAAGCGGCAGGAAGTTTTTTATTTGTAGCTTAAGGGTAACAAACGAGCACACAGTCCACCTGATGGTAAGTGGTTGCTGTGGCCCATAGACATCTACATCTCTCCTCGATTACGAATCCAAATGCAGATGCGTTGTCACCCGTGAGGACTACAGTAAAAAGGGTCTTTGGTTCTCTAGACTCACCATACGAAACACAACAGTGTTAAGCTGCTATTTTACGCTGGTATTCTGTGAAAGCGTGGTCCTTCCCTGGTCCAGCCGACCCATTGATGCTACAACTATACTACTAATATAGCTGCAGCATGGCTCTACCACGTATAATTCTTCCCATACTTACTTATGACTTGGTTGAAAGGTTGAAACCAATGTTGTCAGTCTTGTGAGTACAGGCGCAGAGTAGCCAACCTTTCGATATTATATACGATACATTTCGAAGAATTTGCGCAGAATTAAATTATTTCATCCGTTGCACAATGATCTTCGCACCTTTGTGGTCGATATCCCACGCATTCAACTACGGTTTGCTTCGTCGTTCGTAGTACGTACAGAGTGAAATAGTTTGCTAGCATCTGTCTTTTCATCCTATGAGTTGTGACTTCTTCGACAAGAGTGCATGGGCGTTTGTTAAGCGCGCAGTGCGTTTTACAATTTTCAGTTCTATCACCACTTTTCATAATGTGGGATAGTAGTCAACCACCGACTTATAAAAGTTAAAAACCGTTTGTGGTGATGAAAAGCAGCGGTAAAGGTCGATCGCGACTCTACATGTCAAGTGGTAGGTGACGAAAGTGGTGAGTAATATAGAAAAAAATATGTGTGAGATTTCCATATTTAGGAGAAGACGTGTCGTAACGTGTTTATAAGGAAGAAGATTTAATACCGTTTAGTTTTATAGTACTTTAAATTATAATAAATCAATTTATATTACAATAATAACAAAAATCTAAAAACGTTCAATATTATTACGTCTGGAGAAACGACGCGGTATTGATTGTAGGAAGCTGTCTGATTCCGTGCCTGGAGACGGTCTTCACTCCAAAGTTAGATAAGTTTATAAACAACCTCTGTTGAATCTCGTGCACGCAAAGCTTCAATACTTCATATGCTTCTTTTTCTGTTAAATCTATTTGTTCAATAAAATAATGAAGTTTTTATATGTTATAGATTTAGATAAAAAACGAATGATGAAAATATACAACTGATTGGTTCTCTGTAGTGGGTCGTTTTGGAACCAGTGGCAGACTTTAAGTTCACATAAACTTTAAATAAGCCCTTTTCGATTATCAGATGTAAGTTGAACATGGAAGACCCACTCTGTAGTTATATTATGTTAGCAGCACAAATGGGTCGGCTCGACTGGGGAAGAACACAATAACAGTAAGTAATAGCAGCTTAATGCTGCTGTGTTTCGTATAATGGGTGCAGAGAACCGGATACCCTTTTCATCTTAGTCTTCAGGGGTGACAACGCATCTGTATTTTGATTATTAATCGAGGATGGATGTGGATTTCTATGGATCACAGCTGAACGCTGTGCTGACCATCAGGACTGTGTTCATTTGTCACCTTGATTCCACAAAAAAAGTTCTCTATACAATAAATTATAACCAAACCGAAATATGTATAAAAGTGAAACATATTATTTATAAAATTGTATTTTTTTATCTGAGGACTACAAAATCGGCCCTAAATTATATAAACTATTTTTAGACTTTGATATGAAATTATATTTTAGCGACATTACGTTGACAAGATCACGCGTAAAGTAGAAAGGCTAGGCGGCACTATTATATATCGATAGGTACTCAGTTCGCAACTTCCGGTATCTGAAAGTAGCCATAGTGAAAATAGGCAAAAGAAATATCATTAACGTTATCATCATTTAAGTGCGTTTTGACCGATAAGTCTTCCAGTTTTTGCATGAAATTGTTTTCAATTTATTTTATTTGCTATATGCATATTAGTTGCCTATATAGTTATAACTATAGGCAACAAATATGTAATTATCGTTTCCTCCCTTATAAGGTAGGAAAAGATAATTATGTAAGACATAAAAGATCACATAACTATACTAAATGGAATCAAATGTATATAAACGTTCAGATACTTACTGGGCTTGTAATATTGATCAAGAATACCCAAACTGAGGTAGCCGCCTAAACCATGGGAAGCGTGCGGCACCTTCATACACGAAGCCAGGAAATCCATTGTATAAAGCTGACCACCGCACTCCTCATCATAGCCCGCAATCAAAATATTTAACATTTTCGGAGTCTATATGAAATACAAATAATAAATACAACAAATTTTACCCATTTATCGGCGCTCTACAGCACCCATTATCACGGGGTTACATCCATCACGACGTCCTGATGTCATCGGCTTCCTTCAACTTTTACCGTGTACAACGTAGTAACTCGTGTAAACGTAGTGATTAATATACTCTTTTCCCGTGACCAAGGATACTGTAAAGCGCTCGAAACGTCGAAAATTAAAACATTTAAATTAAACGCGATAAAATACGTATAGTTAGTTTTAGTTTTATCAGTGTGTCGTATTCGTGTAAACATAGGAAATCATTGTACAAATACATTAATTAAAATCTAAAGCCCGTAAAATTACATCGCTTTTTCAAGGTCTGTAACCGTTATTGTTAGTCAGTGATAGAGAGGACCTGGAGAGGGCCTGTGTGTTCTGTGGACCTGGTTAATTCAACGAAAATTCTTAAGGCGATACCCCGACCAAAACCTTGCGATAGTGCGTTTTTCTTCGCTATTGAGAGATTATTATATTATTAGCTATGACAAATAAACTACATCTAAAAGCACATTATTAATGATCGAAATCCTATCATCACATTCCACGTTCTAATTTGTTTTTATATGTTATAAATACATTTAAAATCTACTTTTAAAAAATGACTAAATTTATTGATTATATGCATCTGTTGCTAAAGGCAACGCTCTAATAATTTGAGGATTACACTAATGGATAGATAATTTAAAAATCTATATTAATCACGTTTTATTTAATTTTTAAATTTCGTTTTTCTTTTTTAACTAAAATTAATTCCAAAAATTGTGTGTATCCTGTGACAAATGGGCGTACGCAGAGTGCGGGCGGCACTGCATACTCAAGGTTATTTGGTCAGGGAAACGCCTTAAGTTAGCATAATAATTCAGCCGGAAGTTTCTGTGCTAGCGCACAGCTATCTGATTGTGCCACGACCCATTTTGTACGATCACCTTATACTTCTGTCATTCATATATAAATAACTCTCGTCTATTTTCCGACTCACTTTATTTTTTCTCAAATGATGATTTTTTGTCACGAGACACTGAAGGTACTAAAGGTGTAGTGAAGACGTGGGAGTATCCACTAGCCCATATCGCCCCGTGGGTGTCGTAAGAGACGACAGAGTGAAACTGAAATAGGAGATGAGCAGGAACGTCGCACTGATAACAACGCAAAATTATAAAAAACTGCAGTTGCCAATCTGTCTACCAAACTTGCCACGTTTGGCAGACGGATTTGCAACTAGTTTTGTGTCGCAGTAAAACCAAATCTATAGACCAAAAATATGAGGCAATCTATGGGGGAGGCCTATGTACAACAGTGGACTTTTAATTGACTGTGGTGGTGGTGACTCGTTTTCCACAGCATAAAATGACAAATGGGGCTTGCAGTTCACCTGGTATAGTAAGCAGCTCTGCAGCCTACACCTACGACACCTGTCGACTACTACATGATGCGCTGTCACCGCGGAAGTCTACGATGGATTTTTTTACGTGGTAGATCCACGCTGCAGCTATGTTAATTGTATAGTTGTAGCACGAATAAGATCTCATAAACTACTTGTCGCATTTTGATAAATGACATATCGTTGGGAACGTCTACTTCTTCCGGGGTTATAAGTCATATGACGTAACAGTGTTTGGTATCAAATTAAGTCTAAATGAGAACATTGCGAAAACATATAGATTACCTACAAGTACATACAAAAACTGCAAAAAAATCATTTACTCAATTATTTCGACACTGAAAGAGGTACATAGAACTAGGCAGGTACATTTTTTTCACAAAATATTGTACGACCGACTTCATCAATTATTAAGAATAACTCTAAAACCATTGATCAGACCTTGATCAAAAATATATGAGACCACATGAGAAGCACCAGTTTTCAAGTAAAAAAAAAAGATTCATCGAAATCGGTTCACACAGAAAAAAGTTATAAAGTAACACAGATAAAAAAATAAAAAAATAAGACGTACAGTCGAATTGAGTACCTCCTCCTTTTTGAAGTCGGAAGTAAAATTAATATTAAACTATAACTAGATACACCCAGAACCCCCTAAAAGGTATAAACAAGTCTACGATGTCAATTTGTTGTTATCATACAATCAAGAATTTACGAGTACTATCATTTGCGTATAGCCGAAGTCATGGGTCATGTATAACATGGCCTAAATATAGTGTGATAGTCACACTTTTCGTGAAACTAACATTTTATTTTATCTATAAATTATACTTAGTAATTTCTTGATTGTTTGAGTATTTTGGTGGGCTACTTTTGCCGCAGTTGGATTTTAATTTTTAACTTTCTTTTTATTATTTAATCATAATTGATTATAATTGATTGCCAAACGCGTACAGACTTATGTGAAATACCACTGAAGAATTTTGACCTTTTCAACAGTTATTATGTGGGATTACATAATCGACTTGTGTGCGTTTTCGGTTTTACTTATGCAATCGATACAAGTGTAAATATGCTTTATTACGCAACGTGAAAATAAAAATTGAATTTTATATTCACCTGTAAGCTTCCTGACTTGTTTTCAGAACATCTACATATACGTGGTAGAGCTATACTGCAGCTATATTATGGTTGTAGCACGACTAGGTCGGTTTGACCGGGGAAGGACCACGCTCTTACAGAATACCAGTGTAAAATAGCAGCTTAACGCTGTTGAGTTTCGTGGGGTAAGTGTAGAGAACCGGAGACCCTCTTTACTGGAAGTGAGGCATTCCATCTTAGTCCTCAGAGGTGACAATGCATTTGCATTTTTGATTGTTAAAAACTTATCATCAGGTTCGAGCATACTGTGAGCTCATTCGTCACCCTTATTCTATATAAGAAAGATAAAATTCTATATATGGTGCGTCTGTTAGTAACCATGTAACTCCTGACCGATTAGATTGTTTGTGATCATATTCACACAATACATTTATTTTGAAGTAAGGATGGTTCATAGTTACACCACAGAATAAATAATAGTACTACGTAGTTATACTAGAATTCGATAGATGGCGGTGTTACCATAATTATGCTCTAAAAGACTCATATTGTAAATATGGTATTTTGGAGCATAATTATGGTAACATGTATGTATATTATATGTTAATTAAGTGCAAAATATATAAATAACAAAATCTGGGTAAGGTAGGTGGCTCTGTAGTCGAGTAATTAATTAATAAATTGCACACATCGAACGTGAAACGAGAGAGGTAGAGTTGAACTGTCGACTCGACAAGTTATAATGCTACACAGACCGTCCGTACGGACGACCATCGTGAGGCTATGAAAGTCAAAAAACATCCTAACTTTATTAGGGAAGTTGGCTGGGTGCTACCATCTACTTGGGATCCCGTAATTAATAAATTTAAATATAAACCCAAGCATACTAGGTACTGCAAGAATTCACGATACTCTTAGCTGTTTCCGTGTATATTGGAAACTATCACATCAGGACCTCAAACACCTCAGTCCTCCGTGAGAATGGATGCTGTAAATTGCTCGAAACGTCAGGAATAATTTTATTTTATAAAAAATCCGTAAAATTACTTTTATTCGCTGTGTATCTAGTATTTGCGTAAATATAAGAAATCGGGACGCATTGAGCTCCTGTTAACGCTGGTATTTTGCGAAAACGTGGAACTTCCCCGGTCGAACCGACCCATTCGTGCTACAATCATAATATAGCTGCACCGCGTCATATTGTTGTCTTTCAACTTGATGCCGAAAAGTTCAGAATAACGTCTGCATGGACAGCTATCAGTTATAGTATATGTTACAGTCAAAACCCATAACCGGTCAAAACCATTTTTGACTGCAAAAATCAGGCAAAAGTAGTTTTAACTAAGAACGTTGGTCACTACCACTTTTAACTGCAAAAATATTTGGTAAATTTATATATTTAAGATTTTGGCCAAATTATATGAGTCAAAAGTGGTTTTGACCAAACATATTAACCAACACTACTTTTGACGTTATACTTTTTGAATTTTTAAAATTAAAACATTCAATTCTTTTAATATTATATTTTATATCACTATGCGTACATTACACGGCCTTAGGGCAGCCCAAGGGCCACCCCAGCTACTGAGGGTTTTCACCGATAGTCTGAACTTTAAATGAGACAAAATTACTTTTGACTAAGAACGTTGGTCAGAACCACTTTCGACTACAAAAACCAGTCAAAACCATTTTTGCCTGATTTTTGCAGTCAAAAGTAGTTTTGACCGGTTATGAGTTCTGACTGTGACATATAGATTATTTTTACTGTGCTATTACTACTGATAGACAAACACGTTGAGTTTGTGAAAGTTATCCATTAAAAATGATTTAATATGAAGACCATTTAAATAATAACCTTGGTATATGTTACTATATTGATTTGTATTTGTGAAAGTAATCGATTAAGTTATTTTAGTGTTATTTACGTTCAGTCTGATGTACATTACGGGTTAACGAACTCTTAAACCTATAAAGATACAATACTATGGAAATAGTTTGTACCTATATTTTTTAATAATTTTCATCCTTCTATTACAGCCTATCAAAGCTGAACATAGGATTTCCCCACAAATTTCCCCATAGGGAGGATTTTGCCATAGTTGCCACGCATGGCAGAAGGGTTGGCAATCGCAGTTTTTTTATTATTTTTAGTTGTTATAAAGAAGATGCTGCTGCCCATCTCCTGTTTCAGTTTCCCTCTGTCGCCTCTTACGACACACACGGGACGGTATGGTGTAGTGAATATTCTTACACCGCCATTATACAGTATTTTTTTTTTATTTGGTTTACATACAGATGTTGCACTAATACTTATGGTGAATTCTAAAACACAAATATAAATTAAGTGCACATTTAATAATAGGTAAAAACCGCATGCGTAGTGATCACAGCCTTTCTTACAAGCTTAACGTTATTTTATATACAAAAATATACCATATTCAACTAAAAAAAAAACATAAGTATCATCATTTATTTCAGTGTACGTGGTAGACACGTGGTTTATACGTGGTAGAGCCATGCTGCAACTATACTACTGGTATAGTTGTAGCACGAATGGTTCGGCTCGACCGGAGAAGGACCACGCTCTCACAGAATACCAGCGTAAAATAGCAGCTTAACACTGCTGTGTTTTCGTATGGTGAGTTTAGAGAAGGAGGTTCTTTTTACTGGAAACGAAACATTTCATCTTAAGCCTCACGGCTGACAACGCATCTGCATTCTGATTCGTAATCGAGATAAATGTAGATATCTATGGGCCACAGCAACCACTTATTCAGTAAAAAAAAGTCCAAATCAAATCTGGATAAAATATATTATACATATATTTTTTTTTTATTTATAGTAACAACTATTCATTATGTCCGTTCACTATTCACATGACGTGCCCTTGTTGAAAGTAGTTAATTCTTTTCGCAGCATACGTTTATGGCGCTTCTAAGCGAACATATATATATATACTAATATAAGAACTACTTTTAAAACGTTTACCCCCATATCATACTGTGGGTGTCGTAAGAGGCGACAGAAAGATATCGAACAAGGAGACGGGCAGCAGCATCTTCCTGATAACACCAGAAAGCTTCTCTCCACTCACCATGCGAAACACAGCAGCGTTGAGCTGCTATTTTATGTTGGTATTCTGTAAGAGCGTGGTCCATACTCGGTCGTGCCGACCCATTCTTGCAGCAACCATAATATAGCTGCAGCATGGCTCTACCATGTAAAATTTTTACGTAATATTTTGAATCATCTCCACAGGCTACTCACTCCTTTATGAAATGCCTCCACCATGTGGTTCCTGGTAAAATGTGCGACCGGTGCTGTTTTCAAACTGTAACTATTTCTCATTTTGTACAATTTTAAGTTCTTTGCGACGAATTCAGCGAACTGCGTCGTGTCGCCCATGTCTCCATTAAGGCCCATCACTATGGTGTCGGAGACTTCGTAAAGCTTGTTCCCATCTGAAAATACAAAAGTCTATATTTATCAGTTGCTTTATACCAGAAATTACTGTTCGCGTGCGTTGTCACTCACATCGATATCACGGTAGGGCCGGATTATCTTGGAGGCTCGGCTAGACCGCGTATGGACTACGCTCGAAGAGCTTATCTACATAAGAAGTATACGAGTATGTAAGTATGCAAACACCAACATCGGCGTAATGTAGAGGACTTTGCCTGTATCTTTTATCTTCTATTCTATTATATATAAATAAAATGATGGTTTGTAGTTGTGTGCGCATCACGGAGAAACTACTAAATAGATTTCAATTAGATTTTCTAAGTTTTTAAGTTTTATTTCTTAGATACTTCACCCTTATCTAAAAAAGAAATTATTACGATATTTTCATTTAATATAAAGTTATTAAAGTTTTAAGAAACAACGATTTTTATAAGCACTATGTGTTCAGCGAAGTGTGTTTTCTTGCCGCGGAGAAGTGGGAAGATATATAATATTATATATATATGAAGTCGCTGGTATCCGGTATCCGGTATCCGGTATCTCCGGTATTTCCGGATATCAGGTACTACTAGCTTTAACATTAACAGTAGTATCGGTATCAGTTAGTTATAAATAAAATTCTTCTGTCCATGTGTATGTGACTGAACTCCTCCTAAAAGGCTAGAGCGATTTTAATGAAATTTTGCATGTGTGAATAAGTTGATTCGAGATTGGTTTAGATTCATACTTGGAGCCGGTAGGGGGCGCTGTTATCTCGATCCAAAAATCACCCGTGTGGAACCGCACGGGTCACTACTATATTTATATAATGATTCGTTTTTATTGATTAAACTTTCATACGTCCTCAACTGCATTGTTTATAACATTGAACTTGCTTTCTCTTTCTAATTTCCTGTTCAGATAAAATATTTTTATCAAGCTATTTTAAGATCAGTTTTCTTAACTAAAGGTCGTAGCAAAGTATTTATTTAAATAATGTTATTCTCACTTACACCACAGAATAAATAATAGTATGCTAACACTGTTATCTCAGTGACCTTAAAATAACATCTCTTTTTTAAGTGACGACGGAAAATACCAGATAGTTCTCGTGGTTTCCGGTAGATGGTAGTATTGGTATAAGCATATCGCTTACACCAAAGACCTTACTCACTACGATTTGACGGCTCCGTGGCGCAGTGGCTTAGTAGTGAGTTGGAGCGCTAAGGGCCGTGGGTTCATTCCGCATGGAACAAATATTTGTATGCCCACCGAATAAATAAGAGTACTACGTAACTATACGTAGTATGGCCTACAGATAATTGTACCGGCTCTATATGTTTGTCTTTGTGACATTTGTGTGTGTAAACTGCCCCCACGATACAGGAGAAAATCCTAGTGTAGATGTAACGATTTTTTTAAAATATCTAATACTTGAAAAACTTTATGAAAAATCAACATCAGTTTAAGAAAAGCATAAAGTTTCCCCTTGACTTTCTTCTTTTCACTAAATGACAATAGAAAGAGACAGGTAGAGATATAATTAACATAATAAAAATAGTGGCAAATCCTTACTATTAGGTATTTTTTTTAATTTTATATTTTAGTTATTTTATAGAATAAGGTTGGAAACGAATTTTTTTTATACGTGGTAGAGCCATGCTGCAGGTATATTAGTAGTATAGTTGTAGCACAAATGGGTCGGCTAGACCGGGGAAGGACCACGCTCTCACAGAATACCAGCGTGAAATAGCAGCTTAACGCTGCTGTGTTTCGTATGGTGAGTGTAGAGAACCAGAGACCCTTTTTACTGGAAATGAGGCATTCCATGTTAGTCCTCACGGGTGACAACGCATCTGCATTTTGATTTGTAATAGAGGAGAAACACACAGTTCACCTGTTGGTAAGTGGTTTCTGTAGCCTATAGACATCCACATCTATCCTCATATAAGAATCAAAATACAAAGGAGTTGTCTATCCTGAGGACGAAGAGAGTCGCCAGTTCTCTACACTCACCGTACGAAACACATCAACATAGAGCTGCTATTTTACGCTGGTATTTTAAAAATTAAATATGTGTCCACGTCTGGCAGTGGATTTGATGAAGATAATGAAAATTAACTATTTGAAAATTTACTGTATTGAACTTATCACCATTTCCCAATAAAAGAACGCTCTGTGTTAGAGTTTGGTCGGCAGCAATCATAACAAAATCGTTGCACTGAATTCCGAGGAGGCATTGAAAATTAAGTTCCGACATTCTTCTTGTTATTGGGGATTTTCTTTTGAATTTTTAATCAATTATTTCCCTTCTTTATATGTGCGGTATATTTTTAATTGGCCGCCTTTTTAAGATTTTGGTTTAAAATAAAAAATATAAGTAAATAACTTTAATAAAAAAGTAATATTACAAGTAAAAATGATGAAATTAAAGAGGTAAAAGAACAGAGTAAGTTATTAGTAAGAATATTGTAAATCACTGACAGACTGACAGGTCATGAGTGTCAAAATTAAAGATTCTTTAACAGCCTATATCTCAGACTTAGAGTCTAGTCTACAACATACTCTAAGGCCTATATCAAGAGCTTCAATCGACAATTATTTATTGATCATTGTGTATTGTACAATCAAAAGAATAATATATATTATTTATTTATTTTATAACAGACACATTTTATAGCAAAATTAAATAAATATTTATATATATATTATATATATATATATATATATATATATATATATATATATATATATATATATATATATATATATATATATATATATATATATATATAATACAGAGCATATTTCAGTTCAAATCAATAAACATTTTTCAATAGTTATAAGTAGCATCTTAACAATTTTACAGAAAATCCAATTTAAGCTTACTTTGATGTTATTTCGAGCTATATTGCCGGCTTATAGCCACTTCCTAATCCGTTGGGCTATGTCGTATGTCCGTTACTCAAAAACGACTACCGATAGCGAAGAAACGTTCTCGAGTGGCAGCCTCGTATCGGTAGACTAAGTGTAGGGCAGGGCGTCACCCACTAGATGAAGTGACGACCTGGTAAGGCATGCAAAAAGTAGATGATTGCAGGTGTCTCAGGACCGTGCTTTGTGGCATTCCTTGGGCCAGGCCTATGTTCAGCAGTGGACTTGTGAAGGGCTGTAACGATGATGATGATGTTATTTGGCGTTCAGATATTTTTACGGAGGCGGGATGCGGTTAGTGAATGAATTAATACCGTAATTAAAGGAGATAATAACACAGAATACTTTACCTTGTGATAATGCCGTCCGCTTCCCGTGTATATAAAGCCAAACGTCCACCGTAAACTAGACTAGCTTAGTTTATCTCAGCTCGCATAGTTGAGTCAGTTTTTATACATGTTCGTCCACCGCAAACTATGCTAAGCTAGGTAAAATAGCCAAAATAAGTCAAACTAATTTAGTTGTGTAGGCCGATCAGAAACTCCGCGAACTAAGCTGAGCGCCTCTCACCCCCTTACCTTACCCCTCTGGGGCATTTCGCTTAGTGTTGTTTGTTTTAGCTTGGTTTTCGGTGGACGTGCAACGATTTTCCAGGTTAGCTTAGCATAGTTCACTAAGTCTAGTTTTCACATAGTTTATTTCGCGGTGGACGTTCGGCTTTAAGTTCTTGACCTGCAAAGCCACAGGCTATAGTTACTAAGCTGTCCTTAAGTATCAGATGGTTATTAACCATTCTAGGCAGTCGAGGATGGTAAAGAGCACTTACATAGCTTTATATAAGTTTATATAATGTATACTTGGTTTTATTATGTATATCTCGAAGTTAAAGGAGAGAAATAGTAGTAAATGAAATAAGTACATAATAAAGGTGAGTGCACTATACTATTGGTAAAAGTATGTACAGTATACGATTCATTCAACCGTAAAATATTTCCACCCTATTCAAAAATGAACTTCAATTATATAAAAACGAAACCAGTACTAAATTAAGAAGTTATTTTAATTATTGATTGTTCTTAACTCTTCGTCTCTTTTTTTTTACGCCACTACACGGCGGGCATCAAAAAAGGATATATATATTAATAGAAAAAAAAAAACAGAATTAATTCTTCTTAACACTTCTTACTACAGTATGTGACCTTATTTTTTTTTTTATAAAGTCGGCTTTTACTTCTTAATAAAAGTCATTTTAGCCTTTGGAGTAGACTAAGGAATTATAACTTCATCCCTATCCATACTACCTTTAAGAGTGAAAATTTTTTTCAAATTTATATCGGACCACGTAAAGTTATATATTTCTAATCTTTTAGTTATATTAAAAATATAACTACAAGTTTAGAAATATATACAAAAAAATCAGTCGAATTGAACAATTTAGAAGTTGTCTTAAAGAGTGATCTACCGCCCAGTAAACAGTGCCACGGTAAATAGTTGTATGTAGTATTATTCATGCGCGCCATTGGTGGCGTTAGAGAATCCACCACCTACGATCACCCCATTTTTTCCCGCGATTGTCGTAGGTAGCGACTATAGGAAATTTCACGTGGTAGAGCCACGCTGCAGCTATATTATGGTTGTAGCAAGAATAGGTTGGCGCGACTGGGGTAAAACTACGCACTCACAGAAGACCGGCGTAAAATAGCAGCTTAATGCTGCTGTGATTCGTATAGTGAGTAACCGGGGACCCTTTTTACTGGATACGAGACTTTGCATCTTAGTCCTCAGTGGTGAAAATGCATTTGCATTTTGATTCTTAATCGAGAATAGATGTAGATGTCTATGGCCCACTGCGTCAAATTACAATCAGGTGAGCTGTGTGCTCGCTTGTTGCAGAATTTTCAATGGATGGCGGTATGCCATCTTGTTTTCGCAAGGCTTAATAATCCCAGACCCCAACAGCAGCTAGCTCAGACTAGCAGCGCCAAAGGACGTATGGTACCTACTGAGAACCTTCCTTTAACAAAAGAGATCAATGTGCAGCTGTTCAAGAAAGATGGAGAGGCACTTTAACGGACTAAAGAAAAAGATGAACAAACACAAATAAAGTTTACCAATATTTAATTTAAAAAAATTGAAAAATTTTTGTTCGTTAAACATTAGAACTTGAAGCTGTGCATATATAAAAATAAAATTTTAAAGTGTTAAAATACCTTATAATTGCAAATCATTAGTCCGACGCCACAGAAATATTAACTTAACTAAAGTTAGAAATATTAAAATATTAGGCTTGAAACCCAAGATGGCCGCATGAAAACGTAAACTACTTAAATAGTGTAGTAAAATCATAAAACATTACGAAACAACGAGTTGCTATCTTTACTTTACAGCCTTAGCGGCCATGTTTGTAACGTAGAAAGGTTAATATTGACAGAACATTATCTTCGTCGTTTTAATATTTTAAATGCTCATGGTATGCGATAGAGGGCCCTAATTTATGAACCTCTCGAGAAAAATCTGCATAAGGAAAAGTTACATAACAAGTAAGATTTTTTTAACAAACATTTACTTACTAAATAATTTCGTATATTTATCTGTATGCAATACACTAAACAGAAATTATTTCAATCAATGTAATAGTAAACGCTCTAGCTCTAGGTGCTTTCCGAGCCACCTATAAGTCCAGCACTTAAAAAATTTGATTACATAAATATGTATATAGTTGCATGCATCAATGGTGCGTGTCAAAATAAAGTGTTTCCTTATTTTTTCCCTTTTTTCCCTTCACTTCTAACCTATGACCCCGGTGACCATGGGTTCACATGTGGTGGACTAGATAGCATAACGAAAGTGTTCTGAAAAAAGACTTGGGAAAACAGATACGTGTACTTGTATTCTTTCCGGGGAACACCCACGTGGCGTGTGCTGAATTAGCATTCGAGTAGCTCTTCACTATCTACGTTTATTTTTGTTTCGACTGTTAATCGAAATTATGTTAGATACTGTTTACGCTATAAATTAATATAGATAGGTTATGTAAATAAGACTTTATTCCTGTAGGCTAGTTTCTCGGCTAGAATTACTCCATAAATAAATAGTTTGAAATGTCTTCCCTGCAACGGAAGAGTCCCATGTCCAGCAGTGGGCTTTTACGGACTATTGCAGAAGAACGGAAGAAGAAGACTGCACAACATATGGAAAGTTGTGCAGTACAGTGTGCAGCAAGTACATTAAGACGCATGTATGTATAACGTTAATGGCGCACAACAGCTCGCCGGAGGATTAACAGCGCAACCAGGCTCGGAAACTATTTATTTCCATCCATCCATCAGGGTAGGACCACGCTCTCACAGAATACCAGCGTAAAATAGTAGCGTAATGATTCTGTTTCGTATGTTTCGGTGAGTGTAGAGAACCAGAGACATGTTTTACTGGAAATGAGACATTCCAGCTTAGTCCTAGAGGTGGCAATGCATCTGCATTTTGATTCTAAATCGAGGACAGATGTAGATGAATATTTGACACAGCATTCAGTTATGTATAATCAGGTGGAATGTGTGCTAGTTTGTCACCCTTATTCTATAAAAAAATCAATGAATTATTTTAAAAGACGGATTTGGTAGTAAATAAATATAAAAAAGTTGAATACGTTGCTTATAAGAAAGACAAAAATTTACTCTTATATCAGAGATTAAAACGTGTTAATAAATAATTAGCTATGAATTATTTATATTATAAATATATTTTATGTTCACATTATGTTTAATTGGCGAACTAATTACTGTGAGTCATCAACCACGGATTTCCTAGAGCGTTTCACACTGTCGTTGCGAACCGTTGCGTTTATTCCTTTCGAATAAAAGTTATTTTACATTATTTGTAGAATAAAATACATTTGGAGATAAAACCTTACATATAGTTCTTCTAAAAATAAGTGTTAAAAATAATTAAGAATGTTAAAGCAAATCTTAAACAAAAATTATTTTTAGTATCAAATAACTTGCCACTCCAAAAAAGACAATTTGATCTTTGTGTGAACAACATTGTCAAACAGATTACAACCTTTAGACAAGTTAAAATTCGATATTACAGGTTTTTAGTCAAAATAAAATTCATTTTGAAATACTGCCTGATTTTTTTTAATCGTCATAAGCTAGGGGGTTAAAGAAAAAAAATAGTAAGATTATCACTTCCTTTTTTCATCCAGAGTAATACCTTTCAACCTTTTCAAACTAACCGATTCAATTTATGTACGAGTATAAAACTACTAATAATTTAAAACTATTAGTAGTTTTATACTCGTACATAAATTGAATCGGTTATTTTGAA